AAAGGCGCTAACCAGATGGAATATGGATAGACAAAAGCAAAAAAAGTGCGACGCCTTAAGTTAATCGAGACCATACCTTGACGGTTGAAAAGATGAGAGACAATTCGGAAAGAAGAACAAATGAATCGACACTGTTCATTAAGCATAGTTCCAAAAGCTAATCGAGTCGTGATTACGTATCCTAAGTATCTGATTCTTTTCACAAAACGAATTGATGTTTGGTTATAAAAAAGGTCGAAAAGTGGTAAACTAGATCGAACATTGATCAGCAGGGCTTCTGTTTTTTTTGTGCTTAATTCAATAAGCCATTTTTTAGAGTAAGAATGTATTGCTTCTAGTGTTTTTTGCGCCTCTGAACGTAGCAACTGAATGGCCTCTCGATACTTAGTACCTAATGGAACTGAGAAAAAAAGGCCAAGATCGTCAGCGTAAAAGTGGTGCAAATGAGCCGAAAGAATATGAACTAAGTCTGAAATAAATAAAATAAACAAAGTCGGCGATAATACAGACCCCTGAGGCGTACCCCACTCAAGTGGGAATGAAAAAGATCTTAAATTTCCTAAAGAAACGTAGCCAGTACGCCCCTTCAGCCAATTTCGAATCCATAACCAGAGACGAGGGTTGACACGGTGCCTCGCTAGTTTTACTAGCAAAGCGTCGTGCCAAACCCTGTCAAAGGCTGTCACAAAGTCAACGAAGAGAATGAGACCGGGTCTCGACGAGGAGAGAGCAACACGAGCCTATCACTCTGATCTACTTAGCATTTGATGCTGAATCCAAATAAAATAAGCAGAAAATTGTTCGAGGTCAGCAAAGTGCGCAAACCATGCGGTTTCTCAGAAACAGTCGGTTTTTCACGTTTTTACAAGTTTTCTGCTGTACAGTTGACGTCAAAAATCTTTGAAGGTGATATTCTTGATCAGCTTGACGTGCTCTATCCAACCATGTATAATTCGACCAGATTCATTTTATCACTAACCTTTTGAATTTCCGGCACCTTACAACTTAGAAACATTTAATGATAAATTAAACAAGAAATGGACGGAGACAATATTTTTGCTGAGCTAAACCAAGATTCTCCTGTTCCACTGCACATGGCTATTTGCCGATTTGCGCCAGTCCTGTAACGTCGTGATAGTGACGTTATGTGGTCAGAGAGAGTCAAAACTAGCAGCAAATCTATTAAAATCTTCTTCAAATCGTTCCAAATCTTTTAAAATCTTCAAAATCCTCAAATCAGTTTTATCCCTATTGATTAGAATACTCTCATTCAAATACACGTGTTTTATACAAGAATGAATAAAAAGCATTTATTCTGCGACCTGAAGTACACAATCGATGCGTTCTGAAACACATTACATTCAAAAATGTTTAGACTGCTGGTAATAATTTTTGAAAAACAGAGAGTTTGTCTGTGCATTCCTCTCATAATAGATTGTACTCAGTTTCTTGAGGCAGTTCCATGATGTGAAATCTTAAATATACTTGTCTTTATTAGTAACAGTTTAGAATACATTCAAGTCTTGATCACACAAATACTATAGGTATCACAAAAGTAGGTAAACCACATGATATACAAAAAAGAATGTTTTACAAGGGCCTGTGGTACAAATTTCTGACATGTTATCATGCATGAAACGACCGTTTTATTTCCATCCTTGACTTTTATGTTTTGTTTTATTTTCATCCTTGACTTTTATGTTTTGTTTTATTTCATTTTGACTGATAAAAGCTAGCCTTTAGTTATGAGGGTTCATTGTATTTTCCTACGTGCAAAATAGTATGGCTTTGTTGATCGTGGACGAAAAAGAAAAACGGTCGATCGCATTTAAACTCAATACGATGAATAAAACCTTTTGCTCTAGGTAGTAATAAAGAAGCTGCTGCAGCCTCAACACCATCTTCGTCGATAACAACAATCGCCGACTGAACAATATTTTCGATGACTAAGTCTTCATCAGCGGAATCCTTTTCAGTGATACCACTGAAATCTGCTTTTGCATCATCAAATGCATCTTGCATGCCCCCTGATTCTTTCAGATGGTGTTTTAAATCAATTTTTGATGCAATTTTCACTCGTGGCATATATAAGTCAATGTTGCTCGCGTGAAGTGCAGAACGATTCAGGAGCTCTTTGTAACTATTAAGCTTCGCCACAACATGGTTCAATCCAACATTTCTGTTCGGTAATAAAATTGTAAGAACGTATTCTGTGTTTTTTACGTCGAACAACGATTGATGAAGCATTTCCGCGTTTAGCTCATCAGTCAAGTTTAAATAGTTGAAACGCTCATGTTTATGCATCAGCGTATAGTTCTTTATTATGGTTCCATCGTCTGCATAGAAGTTATAATTGCTTTTCGTCCAATCTTTCTCAAATGGAAATAACCAGCGAGCTAAAAAGAAAACTTGCATTTGCATAAATTTGTATAGATGAGGTGTTCCGAACTTAGGTATAAGTAGACAACCCGGAGTGGACTTTTTTCCTTTCCGCTTTTCTTGCTGTATAAACCCATATAGAGAACATGCATTACAGTCATCTGCTAAAAGCGTACATCCCCTAGATAATGATGCATTTGGAATTGTGTTAATAGTAGAATGGTGACCGCACCGAAATTACTTTGAGAACTAATGTAATTCTTTCTTTTAATCTATCATTTGCCTCACAGGTAGACTATTGGACTTTTCGATACCCGAATCACTCGATTCTTTGGTTAGGATTTTTGCTTACGATATGAAGTTCTACTCTTTGCTTAGTTTTTGTGATTCAATGAAATCCAGAATCTTATAGGATCACAGAAGTGATTCCATAATTCTATATTATTCCTATGAATTCTTACAAGTACGCATCTTTTAAAGAATATTATACGATCATATACTATACCTTTAAAGTAGAGACAGTTGACAAACAGCATTCGCGTTAATGGTGTAATTAGTCCTGAATGGAATGCATCTTGAATCAAACTATTTGTCTCCTTTTGAATCCAAAAATTAATTTCTTTGATGATTAAACCTTTGTTGTCCGATAGAAAGTTAATCCATTTAAAATCACATCCATACATTGTTTGTAATTGATCAATAAACTCTGTTTTCACTCGATATCCTTCTTGCAAATATAGACGATTACGACCGAAATTCAACGATGAATGCTCATAGTCGGAAATAACTTCATGTATTTCTTTTAGTGTATTACCTCTCGCACCTAATGCTATCATAGATAGAGTCGACCGGATACCAGAGGGAGATACAACGATATTCTGATTTTGAATATTTTTGAGCATTTTACGACTAAACCACCATGCATCGTTGTTTTCGCTTCTACATTCTAAAAGCAAGAGGCAACATTGATACTCTGTGGCTCGCCTCGAAGATTACCGACACGTTTTCTTTTGCAAATGGTGAATACGTAGGGATATGTTTAATCGTTTTTAACAGTAGCTGAGTACAAAATAGCGTTCTCAATAGAGACCAGACACTGATATTTGCTTGGAAAATTTTCCTTTCCTATCCAGGTATTTCTTGTAAGCGCGAAAAAGATTTCGAAGCTTATTTCTTTACAAAGCTTCTTATCCTACTTTCGCATAGAAGACTTCGTTCGACTCCAAACCGTGGTACAATCTAAACGTAGTTGAGGATTGATCGAGAATCGTGCTACTTTACTCAAAAAACAACCTGCTTTCAAAGAAGTTTGAGCCATTTTACATATTAAAAAAAAACTTGTACCAACAGAAAATCCTAAGTTGACGGTGTTTCCATCGAAAGAGCTCCAGAGTCGACATCATTCACTGTAAATGAAAAATATTCTAAACCCTTTAAGAATGTCTTTTAATGGAACTTTATGATCATGTCCTGCTATTCCAAAACTTGTGCTAACGTAAAACCTTTTCAAAAAGATCCTATTGATTCGATTAAAATTCAGCACTGAAGTTATAATTCTTTAAGATATACACCCTAGTCCAACATCTTGGAACCAAGATCTTACGTTAGGATTTGGCACTAGATCTTGAAAAAATGCGTACAAGATCTCAAGACAGTTTTGTACCCAAGATCTTGCGTAACAAATATTTCTTGATATCTTGTACCCAGGATCTTGAACATTTCAAAAACCTCATATTTCGAAAATAACCTTTTTCCTTTGCATTTTTTCAAAAAGTGTTGGGAACAAAAAGCATTCACCGCTCAGTGACGAACATTTCATCCGCTAGGATGAAGGATCCCTAATTCCGCACTCATGGAGTTCTGACTCTCGTTTCGACGAAAACATAGTAACATTAAACACAAAATACGATATTCATATATAGGATGACATCGGCAAAATAAGACGGTGAGTGATAACCAATGGTTACTCAAAGATCTTTGTTTGATACAAGATGTCAAAATATTTCTGTATCAAAGATCTTGAGCCATGATCTTGGGTGCAAGTCGTTTTACAGTCAAGATCTTGGATACAAGATAATTTTTAGGATTTTCTACGCAAGATCATGGGCAAGATCTTAGGAACAAAAATATCCTGACATCTCGCACCAAAGATCTTACCAGGATCTTTCCGAAAAAATCTAAGATGTCAAGATGTTCGACTAGGGCAGTGCCTAAAAATGGCTACAAATCGAAAAATTATCTTGAAGTGTAACACTTGCAATAAACTAGAAAAGCTCGCAATTGCGTAATTCTGCAGTAAATATTTAAAAGCATGAATTCAGCTCTTGGTCAGAGTTCTCACTGCCTAATGCTGTTTCACTGCATTCTGTTGGGCACTTTGGATTATGACTAGTGAGTGTTCGGTCCTCCATAAACTCTGATACGATAAATCTTGGTGACGTCAGTAGCATCTGACCACGTAGTTTACTGGAATGACTTTATTGAATAATTTTATTTTGACACAATGAACTAAAATCCTTGAAAAATCTATCATACTTCACTATTACACTTCCAGTAGTGGGTGAGTATTACCTGACCATACAGTAATCAAAAAAAAACCAAACATGGAAGTAGAAACACTGTTTGGCGTTCGGAAAAGCGAAATCTAACTACATTTCGGACTAATACTACCCTGTTATCTTGAAATCTTTCACATCTACAAATTAGTTTATCAATGTTTGTCATTGTTTATAAGTAAAAGTATGGTAAGATTCTCGCGAAATTCAAAGGATTTCAACAAGATCGATAGAAAAAACCACTGACATGCTGTGCTTAAACCGTATTTCACGACCGCACAACCCAGGAGAATTCTTTTTTTCCAAGAGGTGCAAAGTTTTAGCGGTACTTGTAGGATTATCCTCTTAAACCCAAATAAAACCCTTGACTACTGTAGAGGAAACGACAGAGACACAAAGCATGAGTGAAATAGAGAAAGAATTAGCTATCAGTGTTTTCGACCACTGATGGGTTTAGTGCGAAAAGTTGGAAAGTTTAAGCTCATATATCTCAAAATCTCCGAAAAATTTTTCGAATTATTATCAGAATAGATGTCATCGAGCTCTACAAAATGGTTGTATCCGATTCTTCGACAAACGTCGTGTTCATCGTCATCTTGAGCCTCGAAATTCGTAAAATATCGATAGTCTTGTTATGATTTAACCGCGCCTTTTACTTGGTTTTCACTTGCACTGCGGCCAAATCATCTCTTTTACCATTAGTTTTCTTATTTTAGCTGATTTTAATCAAAATAAACTAAAAAAACATCACTAAGGAAATTTTAGAGTTTATATTTATAGAGATCTTTTTCTCGCATTTCTGTGGGCGGAAATTGGAACCAGTGAAGCATTTCTAAAATTCGCTGAAACCAGAAACGGTAAACTACTGTTAACCGTAAATAGGTCATGGGAAGCTAAAATCACTTTTTGACCATTGAGCATTTTGTAACTTGAGCCTCTACGTCAAAATGGCTTATAAAAAAGCTTTTAAAGTTAAAAATATGTTTTAGATTAAAAATCTAGTTATATTTCGGCTGAAAACGATATTTTCAGAACTATACTACAGATGACGGTGGTGTGCACTGCAGCTTATTATGTTTCTATCTGGAATACATAAATATACAGAAAATTTCTCTTTTCCATCTTCACTTTCGTACCCCCTCTCTGTGACTACGTAATATCTGAACAACATTCTCTTTATAGAAAAAACGAAACAGAACAACGTTTCCTTCGTTCTGTTTATTTTCTTGTTCGTCCTTCTATAGGAACGAGCGATCAGACAGGTGCAGTTCTATTGAATATATGCATATTTATTATTTTCTCTTCTTTCTTTCCGTTCAGACACACAGTAACTTCTCTCGATGAAAATTCAAAAAATGCAACGATAAATCATCGACTGTTTCTGACTGGTCGAAATCGTCCATGGTACTGTAAAATCATAAGTAATTTTAGAAAGTGATTTTAGCTTCCCATGATACCAATTGTTAATAACGGGTAACAGAATGATTCGTTAAAAGTTTTGCCGAAAACGAAGTAAAAGGCGCGATTAAATCATAACAAGACTATCGATATTTTACGAATTTTGAGGCTCAAGAGAGCTCGATGACATCTATTCTGATAATAATTCGAAAAATTTTCGGAGATTTTGAGATATATGAGCTTAAACTTTCCAACTTTTCGCACTAAACCCATCAGTGGTCGAAAACACTGATAGCTAATTCTTTCTCTATTTCACTCATGCTTTGTGTCTCTGTCGTTTCCTCTACAGTAGTCAAGGGTTTTATTTGGGTTTAAGAGGACATTGCTACAAGTACGCTAAAACTTTGGACCTTTGGAAAACAATGTTCCACATGTTTTTTTGTGAAGAGCCTAATGTTCTACGGCTAACTTTTTATGCTTTACACGATGGCGATCTTCGCGGCTCGGAGCTAACGTAATGGGGCGCAGACCTGAATGGAAGTACCCTTAGCGCATCTTTCTCCTGAGGCGTCCGTTCGCGTTGAATGATCATGCGAATGAAACCAAAAGAATTTAGCTTATGACCGGGCTATTACCCGTATAATATACTGTACTTCATTTCTGTTCTTATTAAATACCGTATTTATTTGGAAGAAAAACGGTGAATACACGCGTTTAATTAGAACACTTCCATTTAAATACACGTGTTTTATA